GTCACTTCCCTGTCAGCTCGAGGATGAGCTGATCGAGAAAGAACAGTTTCTCGAGAAAGAACAGTTTCTCTTTCTCGATCAGTCTTGTCCTGTCCAGTACACACCCCGCCCCCTAGTAAAACACTCCCCTCACACAGATAACCCTTCCCTGCAAAATAAAGTTAACCCCTTCCTCCCCATTGCCATTATTACAGTGTCAGGTTTTTTTTTTTTTTGTACTGATCACTGTATTAGTGTTTTAGGGGATGTCAGTGACCCCAAGTAAGTACCCCCCAATGACAGAATGTCCGCCGCAGTCCCGCCATAAGTCGCTGGTCGCTGCCATAAGTCCCTGATCGCCGCCATAAACCGCTGATCGCCACCATTATTAGTATGAATAAAAACCTAAAAATCCCAGTATCTTTCCCGCCATTTGTAAACTCTATAACTTTCACGTAAACCAATTAATTTACACGTATTTTTTTTTTTTTTTAGCAAAGACATGTCACAGAATGCATTTTGGCAGAAATTTATGACTAAATTTGATTTTTGCATTTTTTTTTTACTGGACATGTTTTATAGCAAAAAGTCCAAAATATTGTTTTTTTTTCCTCAAAATTGTCAGCCTTTTTTTTTATAGCGCAAAAAATAAAAACCGCACAGGCGATCAAATACCACCGAAAGAAAGCTCAATTTGTGGGTAAAAAAAGGATGTAAATTTCATTTATGTACCGTATTGCATGACCGCGCAATTGTCCGTTAAACTAGCGCAGTGCTGTATAGCAGAAAAATGACGTAAATTGCAGTATTTATACCATAGTTTGTAGACACTATAACTTCACACAAAGCAATCAATATACACTTATTGGGATTTTTTTTACCAAAAACATGGAGCAGAATGCATTTTGGCCTAAATTTATAACCAACTTTGAGTTTACTATATATTTTTTATAGCTGAAAGTAAAAAATATTGTTTTTCTTCAAAATTTTTGGCCTTTTTATGTTTATAGCGTGAAAAATAAAAAGTGCACAGATGATCAAATTACACCGAAAGAAAGCTCTATTTGTGTGAAAAAAAGGACGTAAATTTCGTTTGGGTGCAGCATTGCATGACCGCGCAATTATCAGTTGAATTAGTGCAGCGCCGAGTAGCAAAAAGAGGCCTGGTCATTAAGGGGGGTAAATCCTCTGGAGGTCAAGTGGTTAAAAAGAATCTTAAAAATGGCTTCTGTGTAGGAAGCCTTTAAAGTGGTTGTAAACCCTTACCTATTCTCACTGAAGTGACTGGCCTCATGTGATATACAGAGATGAAACAAATCCTCCTGCACACGATGTACCTGCTTATCTGTGGCAATTTGTCATGTATACTTGTAAAAATCAGTTGAAAAAGATTTCTCATTCTCACAAAGCAGGGAGCGGAAAGTTGCAGTTACACACTGTATAAGAGCTCTGGGAGCTGATTGGTTTGAAGGAACACACCCCCTCTCACACAGGAACAGAGCTGAGGCTCTCAATCAAAGTCTGTGTGCTGGAGATGCCTCCTCTGTCACCTTTTTTGTTGAGTTTGGGCAAGGACACAGGGGCCCCATGATCCTCTATTGCCCGGGGGGCCCCATGAATCCGCCCCTGAGCCCAACTGCAATTTTTTAAAATTAAACACCCCCATAAAAGCTGCAATACTCAACTTTCAGAGCTGCCCCTGCAGTACTTTCATTTTTTCATCTTCAGTATTCAGGGCTAAATGATACTCTGGGGTTGATTTACTAAACCTGGAGAATGCAAAATCTGGTGCAGCTCTGCATAGAAAACAGTTTTTTGTTAAAGCTTCATTGTACAAACTGAAGTTAGAAGCTGATTGGCTACCATGCACAGCTGTACCAAATTTTTGCCCTCTCCAGTTTTAGTAAATCAACCCCTTTGCGTTGCCCGAGAGATTAAGAATATACAGTGAGTATAGGTGGTTTTTTTGTCTTCCTCTGGATCAACTGTGGGTATAGGATTATAAGTTTTTTTTTTGGTTTTTTTTTATGGTTCAACTGGATGGACTTTTGTCTTTTTTAAGCCAGACTAACTATGTAACTATGGTCACAGGTGGCCTCCTAAAGTGGTATTATCCCTTTATTTGCAGTAGAGCAATGCAGAAAATGGCTCTGATGCCATTAGGTTAGCACAGCTCTCTGCGTTATCAAAGTCCATTCACCACTGGGAGGGGATTGTAAGAAGAAAAGAACCCTCTACATCCTGTGGTCAGCCTAAAGACTGAGGCAAGTATATATATATATATTTATTTGTTTATTTCAGATACTTATATAGCGCTGTCAATTTACGCAGCGCTTTACATATATATTGAATATTTACATCAGTCCCTAACCCTCAAGGGGTACAATCTAAGGTCCCTAACCCTCAAGGGGCGCACAATCTAAGGTCCCTAACTCACATTCATACACACGCATACTAGGGCCAATTTAGACAGGATCCAATTCACCTACCAGCATGTCTTTTGGAGTGTGGGAGGAAACCGGAACACCCGGAGGAAACCCACGCAGGCAGAGGGAGAACATGCAAACTCCAGGCAGGTGGTGCCGTGGCTGGGATTCGAACCAACGACCCGAGTACTGCCAGGCGGAAGTGCTAACCATTTAGCCACTGTGCTGCCCAATATATATATATATAGTGGCGATCGAAAGTTTGGGCACCCCAGCTAAAAATTTGTACTAATGTGCATAAAGAAGCCAAGGAAAGATGGAAAAATCTCCAAAAGGCATCAAATTACAGATTAGACATTCTTATAATATGTCAACAAAAGTTAGATTTTATTTCCATCATTTACACTTTCAAAATAACAGAAAACAAAAAAATGGCGTCTGCAAAAGTTTGGGCACCCTGCAGAGTTAATATCTTGTACTGCCCCCTTTGGCAAGTATCACAGCTTGTAAACGCTTTTTGTAGCCAGCCAAGAGTCTTTCAATTCTTGTTTGAGGTATCTTTGCCCATTCTTCCTTACAAAAGTCTTCCAGTTCTTTGAGATTTCTGAGCTGTCTGTCACGCACTGCTCTTTTAAGGTCTATCCATAGATTTTTAATTATGTTGAGGTCAGGAGATTGTGAAGGCCATGGCAAAACCTTCAGTTTACGCCTCTTGATGTAATCCCCCGTGGATTTCGAGGTGTATTTAGGATCATTATCCATTTGTAGAAGCCATCCTCTCTTTAACTTCAGCTTTTTCATAGATGGCATCAAGTTACCATCCAAAATTTGCTGAAATTTTATTGAATCCATTTTTCCTTCTACTCGTGAGATGTTCCCTGTGCCACTGGCTCCAACACAACCCCAAAGCATGATTGATCCAACCCCATGCTTAACAGTTGGACAGAGGTTCTTTTCATTAAATTCTGTGCCCCTTCTTCTCCAAACGTACCTTTGCTCATTCCGGCCAAAAAGTTCAATTTTAACCTCATCGGTCCACAGAACTTGTTTCCAAAATGCATCAGGCTTGTCTATATGTTCATTTGCAAAGTTCAAACAATGATTTTTGTGGTGAGGACGTAGAAGAGGTTTTCTTCTGATGACTCTTCCATGAAGACCATATTTGTACAAGTATCTCTTTATAGTGGAATAGTGTACCACAACTCCAGTGTCTGCCAGATCTTTCTGGAGGGATCGTGCAGTCAAACGTGGGTTTTGAATTGTTTTTCTCACAATCCTGCGAGCTGTTCTGTCTGATATTTTTCTTGGTCTTCCAGATCTTGCTTTAACTTCCACTGTTCCTGATGACTGCCATTTCTTAATTACATTCCGAACAGAGGATATTGACATCTGAAAACGCTTTGCTTTCTTCTTATAGCCTTCTCCAGCTTTGTGAGCGTCAACTATTTTCAGTTTCAGTTTTCTAGACAACTGCTTAAAAGAACCCATGGTGCTGATTGTTGGGGCAAGGTCAGATGAGTCTGGGCATTTAAAACCTTTGAGATTGACATCACCTGGTCTTCCCAGACGATGATTGAGAACAATCCATGACACTGGCAGGTCTCAGCTTTGCAAAGGGGGCAGTGCATGCTATAAATTCTGCAGGGTGCCCAAACTTTTGCAAACGCCATTTTTTTGTTTTCTGTTATTTTGAAAGTGTAAATGATGGAAAAAAAATCTAACTTTTGTTGACATATTATAAGAATGTCTAATCTGTAATTTGATGCCTTTTGGAGATTTTTCCATCTTTTCTTGGCTTCTTTATGCACATTAATACAAATTTTTAGCTGGGGTGCCCAAACTTTCGATCCCCACTGTATATATATATATATATATATATACACACAAAGTTTGGGGAAGTTTGCGGAAGGTAGCTGTGGTTGTAAATGTTTGGGTTTGGGGGTCCAGGCTAACAGTGACATCAGCTAAAGTGAGTACGCAGGTTAACAAAAATGTCCTACAACCACAGGGAGGAAATATGACTTTCTGCTTACTGACCAGCTCATGGAGTAGCTAACTATTTTATACCTCAATGAGCTTTAGAAGATGTTCACAATATTGCAAAAACAAATTATCTATAAAAAAAGGCCAGAATGCTGATATTCAATGTACACAGACGCAAAATCAAACACAAAAGTGTAAAAATCCAAAACTGAGGGAAGTAAATTAGGGGCTCTACTAGTTATGGATCTACACCAACCATTCTCAATCAGAGTTCCTCAAGAGATTGTTAGGGGTTCCTTGGATTGTGTCTGACTGATTTCACATGTGATGGGACCTTTATAGTTCCAGGGTCAACACAGCTTGGCAGAACTAGCATCATAACACTGATAAATGATCTTTTTGGCTTTCTGTAAGGATGGCACTCTGACCACCACTGAAGGGGTTTCATTCTTCCCACTGACCATGTCAAGGTATTTTTTTACCACCGACACCCGAGGGAATGCTTTTAGCAGGGGTTCCCTGAGAGATTTTAGGGGTTCCTCAGGAGGAAAATGAATGAGAAAGGCTGATCTCCACACGGATATACCTTATGTTAAAGTGAATAAATCCTACCTCTGATGGTTGGGAATTGTTGAGATGGGAGAGAGTCCAGAGAAGAGAGAAGTGACAGCAGACAAGAGCTGGGAGGACAATCTATATAAAAGGAAGGAACTAAATGTTTATAAAAGGCATTCACATTTTGAACCCCTCGTGTATTGTATTGTTACTGTCTTGGTCTATGTTCTGTCCCCCTTGCTACTGTACAGTGCTGAGCATACCCTTTGGCGCTATATAAATACTGTATAATAATAATAATTTTGAGATAGTCCACTTCTGGATGAGTCCACAGTACCTGCTCAGGAACCTCTCCTGTGTCTACCGCCTTCTGCAGAATTTGGCAGCACGGTTCAAACAGCTCCCACTTGGTAAGACTGTAAGCACTAGAGAGAAAGTGGAAGAAGCAGATGATTTGCTGCCATCTTGTAACATGAAGCCAACTAGCATGCTATAAAAAAAGACCTGAAGCTCTATTACAAGCATCAACCAAGCAGTTGCTAGAGTTGAAATTGAAATTCATATTAACAATAATGGAAATACACCAAGACAGATGAGGTACAGCTATGCTCAAAATAAGCAATCCAACATCACTTTTTGAAATAAAAAAATATATCCATTTGGTTTCTCTACGGGATAAATCTCTAACCCTATTGGATCCCCTCCATTTAGGCGCCACCCAATCTACACCCCAGAATTTTACTAATGTGGGGTCCTCATATGTTCGGCTATTCTAGTTTTGAGTTAATCACTTGTGACATTACACATGTAGTTTGTAATAATTTTTTACAGCAATCCGGGATTTTTCACATATTTGTGTTATTATTGGATTTTATGGGCATTCATGTGATATTTATTATATGGTTTTGTACTTATGATTGATTAATTTACTTATCGCCACTTAAAAAAAAAACCACCAAATGAATAAATTGTTTAATGTCAAAAAGTTTTTTGGTTTATAAATAGTGGCAGCTCCTACACATTTAAGTTGCAATTTGCGCAATATAATAGATGCTGATCACATTATCACATTTATTTAGAAAAAATCCAACATCACTAACCAGATCAATCACTGTTTTAAATTTCTACACGGAAAACAATTTACTAGTAGGTAACGAGAAAGAGTAGGTAGTAGAGTAATAGAAAACCAACAGACCCAACAGTCATGACATGCATGCTGCTGATTCTGTGTAACTGAATCATTAATTGAAAGGGGCGTGTTCAAAATAATAGCAGTGTGGAGTTCAATTAGCGAGATCATTCAGTCTGTGAAAAAACAGGTGTCAAATAGGTGCCCTTTATTTAACACTTGGCGCTAGCCGAACGCAAATGTGCGACCTCCTGGCATCTGGGCCTAGACGCCGAGGAGCCGCACATTTGCGTTCCATTAAAAAAAAAAATTATGTGCTGAGAGCACGCGCCCTGCGCACTCCCAGCACACATGTCCGGTACTCAGTGAAAGGTCGCGATCTTCTCTTTCGATCAGGACCTTTCCCGATCATGTGACTGCCGTGCTGGCGTGTCACAATGTTTACATGACCCTAAACCCCCCCCGCCTCCCAGCTTCAGAAACCCTTAAAGGGCCGGGAGGCACCAGCACCAAGGGGTTAAGGATGAAGGTAACAAATGGTGGGTATAGTGCATTTTTCTCTGAAATAGGTAAATGGGTCGTTCCAGACATTGTTCAGAAGTACAGCGTACCTTGATTAAAAAGTTGATTGGAGAGGGGAAAACATATAAAGAAGTGCAGAAAATGATCGGCTGCTCAGCTAAAATGATCGCAAATGCTTTAAAATGGCAACAAAAACCTGAAAGATGTGGAAGAAATCGAAAAAACTAATGTGAGCATTGCAAGTGCTGGTTTAAATAGCCCGCCCGACGCTGACAGGCGTGCCTGGGTCCTAGTGCCTGCCGGCACCGTCATTGGTGACAGGCGCGCCTTGGTCCTAGTGCCCGCCTGCCTGTATGTCTCGTCGGGATCCTACGCATGTGCAGATTCGTGCGTCGTGGCGATCTTCTCGTTCCCTGACACAATTCAGAATATTATGGATCTGGAATGAAATGGTCAGCAGCTGTTGAAAAAAAAAAAAGCCTCCAAAAAGTCTCAATCAGGCCGAGGTGAAAAGAGATGTCCTGGTGTCTTAGGACACTATGCTAAATGAGTTGTATAGAAGGTATGTCGATATAGCCACTAAAGGGAGCCAACCCCTTTTTTGTTTTACATACTGCTATAGGAAGCAATATACCCACAGGTTATAAATCTATGTCCCTAAATAAATGATAGAGAAAATTGACAACCCTGGATCATGCATTTCCCAAACAAGTCAGCAATGGCAACTCCATATTTTCATCCTGATGGTGTACCTACAGTATCAACATACCCTGCCTGGTATGGATTATTATACAATTCCAAAGCTTAACCACTTGCCGTCCGGCTGCTGTATATAAACGGCCTGACGGTGGCAGTCCAGGTGCGGGTTGCTGTTCATAAATGGCGCCCGCCATTTTGGACTGTGCGTGCTCCCTGGACCACGCAGCACCGCGATCCTCCGGACACAGTGGAACACCAATTGTCGTACAGGACCTCTGTACGAGGTCCAGATCATGTGATCACTGATTGGCCAATCAGTGATCACATGCAGAGTAGTAAGCAAGATATCACTTCTGACATCATTGCTTACTAAGTGTGAAATCTGTGAATGATCACAGAGATCACATGGTACAAGGCTGTTCACAACAGCCTTGTACCATGTGATAAGCTGTGACCATTCACAGCTCACACAGTATTTCTCAATGGCTGAGAAAAGAGAGGAGGAGAAATGATTGATTTTACAGCCTTTATGGGTATAAAAGCAATCAGTGTAAAAAAAAAATAAATCATCATCCCCCACAAGTAATTACAGTGTCACCATGGTGTACTGCTAGGGTGACAGTATGTAAAAAAACAACAAATAATAATATAAAAAAATAAAAATGTAAAATTTTTTTTTTTTAAATTATAATTTTTGGTTATACTAATTTGGGTTATTTTTTTTCTTACTAAAAAGATAACGGAATAAATTTTGGCCAAGACTTATGATAAAATATTATTTATTTGCAAAATTTTCTAAGAAAAATACTTTTTTACAAAATTTTTGGACATTTTCATTTATAAAGCAGAAAAAAAAAATTCTCAGTGGTGAATAAATACCACTAAAATAAAGCTTTATGAGTCTCAAAATTTTTTTTTAAAAATTCATATGGGTACAGTGTTGCGTGACCGCGCAATTGTCATTCAAAGTGTGATAGCGCTGAAAGCTGAAAATTGGCCTGGGCAGGAAGGGGGTAAAAAGTGTCCGGATTTGAAGTGGTTAAAAAAAGCAGAAACTGCTCATTGCTCAGGGAGCCCCGAGCAACTCTGATCTAAAAGATCAGACTCAAACTCCAGACTAGGAAGGTACAACAACTAAAACCCCAACAACAAAACCATAACATGAACATCAGGACCTGGAACAAAGGGTGGCCAAAGTAGACACTTGGCCATGGGTGCATAGAACACCACCAAAAAACCCTCCAAATAGCAAAGGGAAAAGTAGAAAATCATTGCTACTGCTAGAAAAAGAGCCACAGGAGATGCACATAGAGCCCTGAACCCAGTGTTCACCAGGATAAATCCATAATTCAATGAGGGAAAGCAATACCAGGTTATGGAACAGAAAGCCTTTCCAATCCAACAAGGCTACACAGTATCAGTAGACAGAGGGAGCCAACAGCACAACACGTCCCTACAGACTGATTCGGAATATACAATATCTCCCAGAAGTGAGTACACCCCTCATGTTTTTGTAAATATTTGATTCTATCTTTTTATGTGACAACACTGAAAAAATGAAACTTTGCTACAATGTGACGTAGTCAGTGTACAGCTTGTATAACATGTAAATTTGCTGTCTCAAAATCTCAACACATATATAAAATAACTCAACACATATATATATATATACAGTTGTGTTCAAAATAATAGCAGTCAGACATCACTAACCGGATCAATCGCTGTTTTTGGTAGAAATGATATTTCTACATGGAAAATAATTTCCTAGCAGGTGTAGTAGAGTAATAGAAATCCAACAGATCCAACAGTCATGACATGCATGCTGCTGATTCTGTGTAATTGAATCACTCATTGAAAGGGGCATGTTCAAAATAATAGTAGTGTGGAGTTCTATTAGTGAGGTCATTCATTCTTTGACAAACAGGTGGCAATTATTGCCCTTATTTAAGGAAGGAAGGCAGCAAATGTTGTACATGCTGGTTACAGTGCATTTCTCTCTGAAATTCTGAGGAAAATGGGTCGTTCCAGACATTGTTCAGAAGAACAGCGTACCTTGATTAAAAAGTTGATTGGAGAGGGGAAAACATATAAAGAAGTGCAGAAAATGATCGGCTGCTCAGCTAAAATGATCGCAAATGCTTTAAAATGGCAACCAAAGCCTGAAAGACGTGGAAGAAAGCGAAAAACTACCATTGGAATGGATAGAAGAATAGCCAAAATGGCGCGGACTCAGCCAACAATCAGCTCCAGGAAGATGAAAGAAGGTGTAAAGTTCCCTGTGAGGACTGTTACAATTAGAAGACTCCTATGTGAAGCCAAGCTATCTGCAAGAAGTCCCCGCAAAGTCCCACTGTTGGAAAAAAGACATGTGCTGAAGAGGTTACAATTTGCCAAAGAGCACATTGACTGGCCTAAAGAGAAATGGCGCAACATTTTGTGGACTGATGAAAGTAAGATTGTTCTTTTTGGGTCTAGTGGGCGGAGACAGTTTGTCAGACGACCCCCAAACACTGAATTCAAGCCACAGTACACTGTGAAGACAGTGAAGCATGGTGGTGCAAGCATCATGATATGGGGATGTTTCTCATACTACAGTGTTGGGCCTATTTATTTGTTTAGAAAGTTTGGAAATCCCTGCTACAGACACTAAGTTGAACTTAAGCAGCTTCAGCAAGAGAGGATAGGACCCCTTGTTTCATATTAAAATAACTGCACTAAACAGAACAAGCGCTGTTCCTGAGATATTCTACTTCATAAATCTTGTTTACACTGTGGAGGCACTTTGCAAAGATTGAGATATTTGATGGCCATACTATTTTTTATATTAAAATATTGTACATTTATTTTTCTACAAAAAAAAAAATGATTGCACTGATCTCTCTATTATTCATTTATTCACTATCACATTGCAGAGTGTTACCTGTACAGAGCTGAAAGTCTTTTCATTGTGGCAGCAGCATTATAGACATCGTCTTCATCCAGGTCAGACACCTAGAAAAAAGAAAACTCTGGATTACCTGGTGAGCGCATATAGCCTAACCTATCCGCTCAAATAATATTGGGCCACATTTTTAAAACGATCTAAAAAACAAATTAAAAAAAAAAAAAAAAAAAAAAGAATTGTGTTCTACTTTTTATGTCCACCAGACAGGTTCTCCCTCTTATCTACCCCGGGGGAATGAAGAATGAATGAAAAATAACAATCATAGGTTAGTACGGGGATTCTCATACTCTGCTTTTCTTAGTAATGTCCTCTCTTCTTTACTCTACTTTCCTCTGACAAACCTGGGCACTTCAAATTAACCTCCCTAGCGGTCTGATTATGTCATATTTCTGTGCTCAAAGCGGTACATTTTTTTCCATGGAAATATGTATTTTTTTTTTTTTATTGTAGGCCTGTAATTCTTAGGAATAACTCACTGAAATCTGTCCGAACAAGAGTCTAGTAAACATCCCGGGTATGATAAAATTTTGAAACACAAAATCATAAATTATAATTTAATAAAAATAAATAATCATAAAAAATAATATATATAATAATAAATTTAATTCAATAATATAAATCAAACCAAAAACACTGAAATGTGAAATATAGCACCAAGTTCGCACATCGCTGAGCAAAGTCGCAGAATCGTTTTCAGTGTCTGATGAGGAATTTCCCCCACAAATCATTATCACTCAATTCTGCAAGTGGTTCTGATTTACTATCGCTGTTCTCTAGCCGGTCTAAAACCGCTTTTGACCTAAAAGGACACTTTTTGGACGCCATGGACGTTTCTCAGTTTCCAGGCAGAAAGAACAGTAAAAATGCAGGCAGGGCGCCGGACAAAGCACTCGGGACAAAATGTATGTGAAATGGGTTGATACAGGAATGTTATACTATGTGATTTTTAGTGTATTTAGTGAATGTCACTTTTTCACATTTTTAAATTTCCCTGCCGTTCTGTCCCCCGTATGTCCCGACGTCGCAGGGAACGGAACCCGATGGATGCCGGCATCGGCCGGAGGAGATGGCAGGGATGCTGCAGGGGGAAATCGCAGGAGCGCAGGACAAGGTAAGTGCAGAAGAGATCCCGGAGCAACGCTGCAGTGTATTCCCGAGTGTAGCTCAGGGTTACCGCTTGTGGTGCTGAAACTTTACCCCGAAGCTACACTCAGGAATACAGCCAGGGGGGTTAAGCATATGATGAAAAGATGTTGAGGTTACTTTCAGTAAAAATCTGGTCATTAGAGGATCAAGAAATATCAGCAGCTGAAGTTACACGAGAAGCTCAACCTTTCCTATAAAAGGGGAGCTTAGCCCTACCTCACCTTTCAACTTCCAATCTTCCAAAGGGTACAAACTGCCAATGTTCAGCAATGGCAGGATAAAGGGGGTTCAGCTAATAAGAATTTTTTTTTGAATGGGATGCGCATGGCCTACATGTACGGAAGAGGCTTCTGTATTTTCCTTTGTATTGGTTTTTCTTTGCGGAAATCACAGCAAGGCATTTTCAGACCCTGGTGGTGTGAATTGAATACCTGCAGGATGTCTGGGAGCAATTTTAGGAAGTGGTCACTGAGCCCGTCCACCAACTGGCTGACCGTGAGGTCGGTCTTCTTGTGCAAAGTCTGTTTGCGGTCAGATAAAGTGTAGAGTGCCCGGGAACAGCTCTCCAGAACCTTCGGGTCAGTGTGTTTCTCCAGGATCTCTCGTATTTGGGTCAAGAGAAGATCAAAGTACTGTAAAGATAGGTAAATGACAGGATGTTTACAGTTTTGTGCCCACTGGTACATTACTGCCTAATAGGCACTTCACACGCAAGTCTGCAGGAATTCCGGATGAGGAAAGATCACAAATTTGCTGCAGGCAGGAGGAAGCATTTTCCTAGTCTCCCCTCCCCCTAGTAATAACTGTACAGTACACTGTAACTTTGTAGCAAAGCAACCCATAGATTACCTTATTTTCTTTCTTTCCACCACGGGTGAAGGGAAAGAAAAAAAATCGCTAAATTTTCCCATCAACACATTCAGAGATGATGGGGGAATGCCTTCCACAGCACTATTGTGTTTTGCCATCACGGGGCGCCTTCCCAGCAAGCAGAACACAATGGTTACTGCTAACGGCTATAGCCGCTGGAAGTAATCAAAGGTCAAAAAATCCGGCAGGCTGATTGTACCTGTGACGGGAGTCACTTTGGGTGGGGGGCCCATGGAACCCAGCTCACTTTGGAGAGGTGGGAAGACCCCTGTCTCAGCTCCCCATATCCCTATTATGTGTAAGTCACCCTGTGCCTGTTAGGGGTACAGGGTGATCTGTCCTAATATTGTGTAGACATGTAAAGGTGGGGTGGGGGTTGTGGATTGTTTGGTGTTATGTGGTTGCATCCCATTGTTCTATTGTGTGTCTTGCTTGGGAGCAAACTATTATGGGATGTATGTGTTTATGTGTATTGGCTTGGTGGGGGGGTGTGTCTCCAGAAGCCCTCCCTCCTGATGGGACTGTCTGCTGGTGTGTCTCTTGTTACTAAATGTAGATTGCCCCGCCCTGTGTCATTATGCAGGGAGGGGGGATTGTTCCCTTGAGTGTATATATCTTGTATCTGTGTTAAAATAAACTAGTCTACTTCCGGTTTACTTCAAGATTGGTGTCGTCTAGTTTTGTATGGTCTGCTGTGGTGTATGTGGTTGGTGTTCGGACAGGGAAGCGGGAGTCTAACGGAAGTACCGAAGCGCAGTCTGGGGTCGGTTCCGTTACAGTACCAAAGTCGATCGATGGATCAACATGGGTACAATCAGCCTGATCCATACATGGAGAAGTAAGCAGTACCCAACACAGAGTAGTGGCTGTGGGGATATAAAATAGGCTCCTAAGTGCCACGTCCTAATAACACTAGTATAGATCAACCAAAAGAAGGCCAGAAATTTGGACTTTAGAGGCACTGCAACAATATTTATTAAAATCGTTTCTTTACTGGAATTACGCAACAGTACCTAAAAAAACATCTGCTAAGAATGTAGGACCCCAATGGGGTGGTACATTTATTTTATTTCAGGTACTTATACAGCGCTGTCAGTTTACGCAGCACTTTACTTATATATTGTACATTCACATCAGTCCCTAACCCTCAAGGGGTGTACAATCTAAGGTCCCTAACTCACATTCATACATACACTGCTAGGGCCAATTTAGACATGAGCTAATTCACCTACCAGCATGTCTTTGGAGGAAACCGGAGTACCTCGAGGAAACCCACGGAGGCACAGGAAGAACATGCAAACTCCAGGCAGGAGGTGCCGTGTGGTTAGGATTCGAACCAATGACCCTAGTACTGCCAAGCGGAAGTGCTAACCATTTAGCCACTGTGCTGCCCGACATTCTATGCAGTTACAAATCTCATAGATACATCTTGATCCAAACAAAAATATTCTTTTGGGATCCCCCTGTTTACTTGCCTGGGTGTTGGATGCCTTATCCCCCCCTCTGTAACCCCCGCTATGATGCCTGTGGTTCAAGGTATATTTAGAATATATGTTTAATGATGTATGATGAACAATAGAACATGTAATGCTATGTTATGCCTATACTTACTTTTTTCTTATGTAATAATTCCCGAAGAAGCGATATTCTCGCGAAACATGTTCAGTCACTATGGTTATTGACATCTGATTCATGTTCCCTGACACCCTTCCTGGGACACAGTATTTTTGTATGGATCAAGATTTTATGTATCTACGAGACTTGTAACTGCATAGAATGTACCACCCCATTGGGGGTCCTACATTCTTAGCAGATTTTTTTTATGTACTGTCGCACAGCTCTGAGCCATTGAGCTCAGATTTGCGCATATACACACCTGAATGAATCAGAGAAGTGTGTCCTCTCCCTGTGTTCCTGCTCTGTTCAGACAGTGCCCTCTGAATTTTAGAGACAGGCATAGAAAAAGAAAATGAAAACTGAAAGAAAAAGACCGAAACAAACAGCTTCTGCAGTTTTTTTTCTCTCTCTTTCTTTCTAGAAACACCCAAAATACTTGTACGTCCGGGTTGATATTCACCTTTTCCAGTCTACCAGTACAATACATCTCCAGCTCCAGGTACCCCACCACCTTCAAAACAGTTTCCATTTTGTCTGCATCAGCCGAAAACTAAAAAGAAATGCAGTCTGGTTAAGACGAACCGATCACATAAAGTGTAATCTACTCCTAACTCTTTATGCTTCAAATACTACATAGAAGTGGAGATTCCTGACGAGATCATTGATCTCCATTCCGCAACATACACTCCGTGTCCAAAGCTGCCAATTAGAAAAGGAGATCAGAAAAAAAGACTGACAAAACACATTCTCTTCATTGGAACAGGACAAATTCCAGGAAATAGATAGATAAAAAATGACTGTACACCCAACTCCAGCTTTTATTGATTCTTTTCATAATGAAAGCAATGTTCCCTGGTTTCCCATTGGGCTAATTCACTTCTGACTTCTATATTAACTTGTTCTCACAGGCTCTACTTTAATCCAACCCTGCGCCTTGAGTTTTGATGTTAACCTCCCTAGCGGTCTGATTAGGTCCATATTTCTGTGCTCAAAGCGGTACATTTTTTTGCATGGAAATATGTATTTTTTTTATTGTAGGCCTGTAATTTTTAGGAATAACTCACTGAAATCTGTCCGAACAAGAGTCTAGTAAACATCCCGGGGAGGATAAAACTTGAAACACGAAATCATAAATTATAATGTAATAAATAATCATAAAAAATAATAATAAATTTAATTCAATAATGTAATCAAACCAAAAACACTGAAATTTAAAATAGAGCGCCAAGTTCGCACATCGCTGAGCTCAGTCGCAGAATCGTTTTCAGTGTCTGATGAGGAATTTCCCCCACAAATCATTATCACTCAATTCTGCAAGTGGTTCTGATTTACTATCGCTGTTCTCTAGCCGGTCTAAAACCGCTTTTGACCTAAAGGGACGCTTTTTGGACGCCATGGACGTTTCTCAGTTTCCGGGCAGAAAGAACAGACAAAATGCAGGCAGGGCGCCGGACAAAGCACTCGGGACAAAATGTATGTGAAATGGTTTGATACAGGAATGGAATACTATGTGATTTTAGTGTATTTAGTGAATGTCACTTTTTGACATTTTTAAATTTCCCACCAGTTCTGTCACCCATACGTCCTGACGTCGTAGGGAACGGATACCGGAAGACAGATGCCGGCATCGGCCGGAGGAGATGGCCAGGGACACTGCAGGGAGGACATCGCGGGAGCGCAGGACAAGGTAAGTGCAGCAGGGATCCGGAGCAACGCTGCAGTGTATTCCCGAGTGTAGCTCGGGGTTACCGCTTGTGGTGCTGAAACTTCACCCCGAGCTACACTCAGGAATACCGCCAGGGGGTTAACTTGTTCTCACAGGCTCTACTTTAATCCAACCCTGCGCCTTTGACTTTTGATGTTCATAATGTTGTGGGCTCTGAGGATACTCTTTGACATGGATCAATTATCTGATTGAGAGTCTCCATCTGTTCAATCCAGCCCATCACAAAACATGCACAAGCAGCTAAAAGAAAAACTAAGATTGCACCGATACCATTTTTTGGTCGGCAAGTACAAGTATCGATACTGTCAGTCAAGTACTCGCCGATACTTTTGCGGTGCAGTTTGTGCCAATACAAAATGAATGGGTGCAAACTGCACCACAAAGAATAGCATGCGATTTGAACAGGAATGCTATTCTTGTCCAAATGAAATGCGTTTTCCCCACTGCTCCTGTGTGAACCAAGGCTTGTCATAGTCTGGATTCACACAGGAGAGGTGCGGGAAACTTCCCTGCACCAATCCCATACTGAGCAGAGAGTGGGAGAGAAGGGGATGTACTGTATATACCAGGGGAGGACTGACAACTCATGGGGCCCCCGGGCAATAGGGGACCATGGGGCCCCTGTGTACTTGCCCACACCCAAAAAAGCCTATGAAAAAGGTACCAGGGGCATCTCATGGGGCCCCCTTCTGACCCCGGCCCTCGGGCAGTGCCCGAGTTCCCAAATGGTCAGTCCGCCCGATATATATATATATACACACACTTGATTTTGCGTACCCGTGCCAGCATTATTTCTGCTATAGGGCGGACGGGAAGCAGTTAAAGATTACGGCATGGGGGCGTGTCCAAGATGGCGACCAGAGCGGCCGCATAATTGAGAGCTCTACCACCCTGCACTACAGTATCATACGTATTCATTCTGGGGACAACTCTCTCCCTACCTGTACTGGGGACACTGCTGACTCTGAGATACATATAAACTGGGAGAAATCAATACGGTTTCCTCTTGCGTCGGGACCTTTGCCTGATATATCATTTGCCCCTATTAGATCGGTCTCCAAATTTAAATACTTAGGTGTTATGGGTTCAGCGTGACTTGACTAAATACCTATCAGACAATCTTCATCCTCTCGTACAATTACAATCTAAATGTAATGCCTGGTCTTCCTTGCTATTAGTACCATAGGCCAAGTGAATCATTTTAAAATGATATTCCTACCTAAATTTCTTTACTTTTTTCTACATACGCAGGTACAAATTCCAGTCACTTTTCCGTCGTGTGGATGGCATTGTTTCTGTGTTTCTCTGAGCTGGGAGGGCCCCTAGACTTTCCCGATCTACATTGCATCTACCCATTGATCATGCTGGCCTGACACTACCTAAGCTGCTTTTATACTATTGGGCGGCTGTTTTGGTCATGGTGCGCTGGTGGTTCTCGCAGCCTAGGGATAATGCTGAGGTGATCCTGGAAGCGGCTGTATTGGGCTCTTATGCAGAACTTAGCAACCTGGTTTACAGGAGTCCGAAGTCCAATCCAGCCATTACTATTCCCATGCTGACAACCTTGAAGGTGTGGAGACAGGCTATGGTTCAGTACAGCGTAGACAACACCTACTCCCCTTACACGCCGCTTTGGGGCCCTACACTCCCCCACTTGCACACGGTACCGGATCCTAAGGTGTGGGCTCGTTATGGCATAAAAACGTTGAGACATATTATGCTTCGTGGTGTCCTGCTTTCCTTTAACCACTTCAAATCCGGACACTTTTACCCCCTTCCTGTCCAGGCCAATTTTCAGCTTTCAGTGCTGTCGCACTTTGACACAGCGGGCACCGGATCGCAGTGCTACGCGCTCCCAGGGAGTGCACACAATCCAAAAAGGCAGGTGCCGTTTATGAACAGCAACCCGCCCCTGCACTGCCACCGTCCCGCCGTTTATATAGAGCGGCCAGACAGCAAGTGGTTAATGACCTTAAACGCAACCATGGTCTGCCTAACCAGATGTTTTTCCGGTTTCTTCAATTGCGACATGCTGTTGCCGCCCAGTTTCCTACTCCGCCTCCCGTACAGAGTGACCATTTAGAAAGTTTATTGATAGAGGAGGATTTGCCTAAACCTCTGTCCTCTCTCCATTCTCTGCTGCTAACCATATCTACCCCTAGAATACAGTCGCTCTACAGTAAATGGCACTAATGGTGGAGGATGATTGGGAGGAATATCTTTTGCAATGCCTCCCTACTATGATCTCAGCCAGGGATCGTTTCATACAACTAAAATTTGGCCACAGCGTATATTACACCCAGCAGTGACTGGCGGTGATATATCCTGGTAGATCGGATGCATGTCCTCGTTGTGATAGGGCGGTTGGCACGTTTAATCGCATGTTTTGGGAATGTACGAAGCTGTGTCCCTTTTGGACCGGGGTATTAGATACTATTAATGCTGTTGGTAAACGGTCTGTTCCCATGGATTCGCTGATTATGTTGTTGGACCTTACTGATCTCATAGAGGCACCTAAGCATAGCAAAGAAGCAGCAGGAGGTATCATAGCTAGAAGATAAATTTTGTTGAAATGGAAGTTGTCTAACTCGCCCACAATCTCGGGTTGGAAGACGGCAATCAATGGTGTGCTTTCTTTGTATAAACTTACATATATGAGTCGCAATTGTCCAGCTAAATTTGATAAAATTTCGGCTGGGTGGGTGGAGGCACAGGGCCTTACGATATAAACCATGGTATTTCCACGTTGGGGCTGTGCCAAGTTTGGAATATTTGTCTGCTTTGTTGCTATTTGTGCAGTCTGTCTCCCTCCTATACGTTTTTTTCCCTCACTCTCCACCCCCCACTCTTTTTCATCTTACCCTTCCCGTTCCCTTTTCCCTCCTTCTTTGGCTTACACACTATGAGTTTCTTCTCAACTCCTCCCCCTTGCGGGTTGTTATTAGCTAGACCAGGGGTAGGCAACCTATGGCTCTCTAGCTGTTGTGGAACTACATTTCCCATGAGGCACTGCAAAGATTACAAAATTGAGAGTTACAGCTATGACTTGCAGAGGCATGATGGAACTTGTAGTCCTGCGGCTCTCAGGTTGCCTACCCCCTGAGCTAGACCACAATGTGTATGCGATTACTGTGTCTGCTCAGGATAACAGGTTAATTCTGTAAGACTCTCAGCTTTGACAGTTAGTATGTACTGTACAATTTCAATAAACGCAACTGATATAAAAAAAAAAAAAAAAAGATTACAGCATTCATTAATTGTCACAATTTTAAAATATTATTTTCTTTCATCCACATCCTATTGAGTTTGTGAGGGCACATTTATTGGAGATAGCACTTTTTCGGTTTTTGATACATTCTTTTTTGCTTGCCAATGTCCACAGCTCCTGCAGGTGGCAGTATAAACCAAAGGTAAAAAAAACTTTCTTTGTCCCTCAATGGACATGAAAGACTTAAACATGATGAGGCTGCACTGATGGGGGCTGATGATGCTGCACTGATGGGCGCTGATGAGGCTGCACTGATGGGCGCTGATGAGGCTGCACTGATGGGCGCTGATGAGGCTGCACTGATGGGGGCTGATGAGGCTGCACTGATGGGGGCTGATGAGGCTGCACTGATGGGGGCTGATGAGGCTGCACTGATGGGGGCTGATGAGGCTGCATTGATGGGGGCTGATGAGGCTACACTGATGGGCGCTGATGAGGCTGCATTGATGGGGGCTGATGAGGCTACACTGATGGGCGCTGATGAGGCTGCACTGATGGGCACTGATGGGCGCTGATGGGGTTGATGAGGCTGCATTGATGGGGGCTGATGAAGCTA